CGTGTATCTGCTTCCTCGTGGGTTGCCTTTAGAGCAGACAGGTCGATTGCTCTTTCTGATGATTGCACTTCCCTTTCATCTACAAATCCTCCAGCAGCTAGAACAGCTTTGTCTGGGGGTGTGTTCACAATGATGTGTTCCAGTAGGAACCTGGCTAGATCTGACTTGTTATCTGGCAATGCAAGGAAGTTTGGCCAACTGTGAGGGAGAGGGACACTGCCATCTTCAATAGCAGGATAGGGCGAGTGAACTTTGTGCGTCTTTCTCTCGTTCCTGACTTGATGGAATCTCCTTGATACTGCTCAAATATGACGTGGATTTGTTGATAGCGCGATCCAGCTTGAAGAACTGCTGCTTGAAAGCTCTCTGCAAAGTCCCCAAACGTTTGAGCACTCCCAATTGCAGAAACTAATGCCAGGCCATCTATCAATAGACCTGAGCTGCCTTGAAGCTCTATTTCACTTGGGCAATTTATTCCACTTGTAATTAAGTCTGCTAAGAAAGATTTCTGCCCAGCTCAGAGATTGTCATTGATCTCTGCTAACGCGGCTGGTACAGGCATCAACTCATATTTTAGCAATGATAAGGCTGCATAAGCAATGATAAGGCGTTGAAGGACATTTCCGGTCGGCTCTTAAAATATTGGTTTTGTTCTTCTCTTTGCTGCTCTTTACAACTTGATACAAGTTATCAATAGTTGGAGCGTTATTCTTGTGCATCGTGTCCCAGAATCTCACTTCTGATGATCTATCTTGCTGCTGTTGAGAGACGCTTGGCAACCTTTGCTCCGCGAATTCTTTCATTTGTTGCCGACCAAGCTCTTTGGCATTTAACAGCGAGACTTGAATTTCATCAGTGACAAGATCTTTAGTGGAAATGTTATAAAGACAGGCTGGATGTTCTGGTGGTGAAAATACCTTGAAGTGCTTGAGAATGGTAAGCAATGAACATTCATCCTTCTTGTCACGATCTTTCCTTCCAGAAGTAGATTCATTGTGAACTCAATGCTCATGACGTCTTGGTTATGCCCCAAGATTCCTCTACCTCTTTTCCCTATCCCATTCAGCCATTCATGGCTGTAATCGGGACTGACCTGGTTGAACTTGTTTTCATTCCATTTGACAACGAAGTTCCCCTTTTTGAACTCTTCTAAGACTTCCTTTAGCAACTGCTCCATCTCTGCAATGTACACTGATTCCCATCGTGCATAATTCAGATGGTCATATCTGAAAAAATATGGCAACATGTGGCGGAAACTGTGCAAGTACAGGTCCCATATCCCCTCTCCCTGAGCCCGAGTGAACATGAGGAGAACAGATACCATTTCCATGTAGTTCCACCAACATTTGAAGTTGATATTTTCCTCGGATCTTTGTGCGACGAATTCGTCGAGCATATTTTTCACTCATGGTGTCTTGAGGGATGTTATCAGTGCTGCAGCATTTTCGGGAGAGCAAGCAAGAGCAGATACTTCTTGGAAAAGATCTGGGTACAATTTCTGGCAGAATTCTAACAGAAAAGGCATCAGCAGCTGCCACAATGACTGCAGAGTAATCTTGTGGACACGCATAGCTCTCTTGTAGGCTTTTCCGTTCATGACATGTTCGGTTGCATTTGGCCCAAGCAGTCCACTCTCGACCCATTCTTCGACCAAGCCTGATCCTTTCATATGGTTTCCAAACGTAAAACAATACAAGTATCGTCATTTCTTCCAAGTAAATCAAGCAGACGATCGATAACCTCTCTGTTTGCTACGTCCCTGTAGTTTCTTCGTTTAGTCGTCGCTTCGTAAACAAAATTTTTGCTGTAACTTGTAGCTTCTTTTACATCGTCCTTTGGCTCATTACGCTTCTGACAAAAGATGCACAGCTTCAAGTCAACTTAGAAGCTCTCTTTAGGGTCACAACTGGATCCATTCCAACATTTCACAGCTTTAGAACAGTTTTCTACTTGCCAGAAATCGAGCGATGGCATACTAAACAACGAAGCTGAGTAACCAGGCTTACCTACCACTGGACTGGACTCAGACAGTGAGAGCGAAATTAGGGAAGCACGACCGTGAACGCGTTTCTGTTTTCACATTCAAATGCGTAGCCATCAACTTCATTGAAAAAAAGCCCCATTGAACTCAAAATACCAGTGCATATGAAACACTTTTCTGTTTTAATTCGGCCAGTTGAAAAGAACGTGTTTCTCTGTTTGAGAGAATATTATGAAAACATAAATGACGTCATACATTAGCCCACGAGACAGGCAAGTCTTACACTCCTCAAAATACGAAGTATGTAACATATTGTAACTGAACTGGCTCTAGAAAATCCAAATTTGTGACATTTAACTCAGTGGTTTCCCATTTTCTACACATTTATCATTGCGATGACGTCATTTTAAATGCCAATTTTCTGACGTCATTTTCAGACTGAAGATCACAAAATGAACTTTGGTAACAAGCATTTTCGTTTTCAGCACGTCAGATTACTTCAGAAAACTCTTGTTACCAGCTTTTACTAAGAAATGCTTCTTGATTTTTGTGAGAAGGACTTTATCCAAATACCGACTAGTCTATGAATACCAGATTGCTTGTCAGTTACTGTCATGTCATGAAGTGTTATGGCCAATGAATATGAGACTGCTAATCGGTCACTGTCACGATATGAAGTGTTATGGTCAATGAAGGTTTTCTTATTTTATCATTTATTGTCACGACATGAAGCGTTATGGTCAGTAAATATAACATTGTTATCAATTACTGTCACAACATGAAGTGTTATGGTCAATGAATATGACAATGTTTATCTCTTACTGTCACAACATGAAGTGTTGTGGTCAATGAGAAATGTGATTTGAGAATCATGACTTTTGAAAATGTTATGGCCAATGAGAAATGTGATTTATTTGTTATTGTGAAGTTATGGCGTGACTCCCTTACGTTGTTAGATTGAAGATCACGAATTTATGGAATATTATGGCTCCGCCGTTTCTGAACACACCCACGAGACCGGTCACTATCCTATCTGAAATGAGGCCAAGTTTATCGATCGATATCCTCACTGGTACACACGTAAGGTCAAGGAAGCTATTCACATAAGACTTCACCCTAATAACATCAACAG